CCTCTACCCGACGTTCTTCCACATTGGCCGTCTTCTCCGCCCGACTTCAAGTAAGAGTTCGCATAACAAATTAACTTAATTTGTCACCATTTTTGTGTTCTAACTAATTGTAATTGCTTTAAATCGCATCACCAATTTTTGGTCACCATCATCCAGGTGTACTACCAAATTTTATATGATCTACAAACTTTTTTTTTTGTTAGATGGAATGGTAGGTATATACCAATTGTTATTAAAGAAAAAGATCATACTCACTAGTTTTGAAATTGAAAATGTCACTTTCAAACCCAATCTCTAGTTTTTGCCACAAATATAAACACAAGAAAAAAGATAATACGCTTCACGCATATTTTTAATAAAAATTACATACTTATACAGTTAAATAACGTACTTTAATTTGTTATTTTTAAACTATGTCAATTACATATAAAATGAAATTATGTACTTTAATTTATTATTTTTAAACTATGTCAATTACATATAAAAGTAGACATATTTGTTAAAAAATATATAATGGTCACACAATGACTAACAACCATAAAATTGTCGAATTATTAAGCCCTTTCACGACAGTTCTTGCCACTTATATACTATATCTACCACAAACAAAATAAATCCAAAACAAACATATAAGCATTCACGTGATACATATATACAAATCTAAATAGTGTACCTTACATTATTTCTAATGAATGAATGCATTACAAAACAGGCAACTGGTAGTTAGCTACGCAAAAGAGACAAAATCTTTGTTCCTAATGCTGGTCGAGGCCATCCTGGAAAGTCTAGGCCTAAACAAGACAAAAACATCTGAACCGATCAATGAAAACGATGAAAATAAGATACTAAAAGAACTCGAAAATGGAAGTCAACTTATGGTTGTCAACTGCTACCCGCCGTGCCCGCAACCGGATTTGACTCTGGGCATGCCCCCGCACTCGGATTACGGGTTTTTAACGCTACTTCTTCAGGATCGGGTCAAAGGGCTGCAGATCCAGAACCGGGATAAATGGGTCACGGTTCAGCCCATACCCGGATCATTCGTTGTCAATGTTGGAGACCACCTAGAGGTATTTGTTTTTATATGTATTTATAATAAAATATTATTCATTAAATAACTTGACTTGTTTTAGCATAGTTTCATGTTTTATCCAAATGAACAATTTTATTTATTTATTTATTTTTTTATTTTGACTTGTTAATGCACTGATGTTTGATAAACGACAAATTAGTGTTTTAGCATAGTTTCATGTTTCATGTTTTCTAAATAATTAAAATATAAATTAATAATTATTATTTATGTTTTTAATGAAAATATTACTTATCTCACTCTAACTATAATTTGTTATCAACTAATCTGTATTATTTTTATATGAAATAATTTATAATCATTATATTATATTAATTTATAATCCAAATTAAAAATACTCTTTTTGTAGAAACAATTTTTTTCCACTTTTCAATTTCTATTTTCGAAACATAAATCTCCTGTGTGCTGATCTCAAACCAGACTCACGAGACAATATTTTACTTTTATGTTTAAAAGTATAACATATGAAAATTAATAACTTTGATGCCTTATATCAAATTATAAATTTTAAACACTTTTGACTAATTATACTTGTTCTTTTTAACCAGATATTTAGCAATGGGAGGTACAAGAGCGTGCTGCATAGAGTACTCGTAAATTCGATGAATTATAGGATATCAGTGGCTTCACTGCACAGTTTCCCTTTCACAAGCACTGTGCGACCAGCGGATGAGCTTGTCACGGAGACTAATCCGAGGCGTTATAAAGACACAGATTTCGCTAGTTTCCTCAGTTACCTCAAATCTTGTGACTCCGTCAAAAAGAATTTCCTCGAGTCCAGAAAATTGCACTATTAGTTATTAAGTAACAAAAACTATTATATATATGAATGTTGTCAGTTTGAATGTATGCCAACTTCTTTCTGTTAATTTTGGCTTATAATTGTAATTTGTACCATCAAATTATGTAGAAATTAATTGGTTGGCTTAAGAAGTACTTAAATTATGCCAAGATCTTTCATCTCCAAGTTACTCGAAAGAAATTTCTTAGTTTCGCGCAACATGCACATATCGTTAGTGGTAAGCATAATGTCATCTACATAAGGGCGGACGCAGACTTTAAGGACAACGGGAACACAAAATACGGTCAACGGTCAACACCGATGGTCAACGGTTAATGCATGATGTCAATAACCAACCAATTAAAAAAATAAAAAGATAAAACATTGACCAGACTCTATGTTCCCTATTTAATAACTAGGGTTGAGTCTCACATTCTCATTTTAAGAATAAGATAATTTGATCCAATCCATATATAGTATATACATTTATGTATTTTGGGAGGGAAAAGAAAATAAACAAGAAAAGTATAGCATAAGCATAAATTCCACAACTTAAAAAATAACATACTATTAAAGGTTAAATAATTTTAAATATATATATTTTTTTTTATATTGAAATAACTTTGCATAATAATTAATAACATGCATTTTTTTATGTCAATATAATAATATATATATACATAGGCAAGGGATCATATGAGAATGACTCTAAATGCGAGTAATGAGAATAAGTTTGGACCATGGGATCAAACATATCAATGGTTATGATGAAGTCAAATTATGGTCAATCATTAATGACAATCTAGTAATTATTGACCATTGTGTGGTCAAATATGTGTATTTGACCAATAATTAAAGATAAGGTAGTAAATAAACATATAAAATGGGACCCACTCATTAAATCAATTCAACACACTTTTCTCTCTCCTCAACCTCTTCCCTTTGTCATCTTCACGCATTGAACACACACTACACACACTACACACACACACATACAGATTTCCGGCAAGCCAACCACCACATCGCCGCCGCCTTTCGCCGACAGCCATCAATTTCGAGCCCACCTTCCGGCCACCGGAGCACCGCCGCGCAGTCACCTCCGTCTGTTTCTGCACAACCGCCGACGCCTCTCATCTCGCCGCCGCCGCCTCTCATCTCGTCGCCGCTGGCTTTCTGCCTGTCGCCGCTTTTCAGCCCGCCGTCGTCCCCTTTCTCAGCTCGCCGTCCGTCGGCCACTCATGCTGCCTCCGTCAATGGCCGCTTCAATGTCGTGGATCTTCCCGCCATCTTGGCTTCTCGCCGGAAAATCGCCGGTGAATGTCGGCGGCGACTAACAGGCCAACGTCGGCCGCCGGCGACCTCTGTGATTGTGGTCGGATATATATGGCAGTTTGTTGTACCATGAGTGTTGTTTGAATTTTGGGGTTATTTGTATGAGAATTTGATTTATTCTACGGCCCTAATTGCAATTTTTGAAATTTTATTTTATTTCAATTGAGGACAATTGGCAAATTGGTATTATAGTAAAGGTTTAATACATACACAACTATACATAAAATGAACTACAATATTTTTTTATACTTCAATAGAAAATCATAACTTAATATTTTTTATACAAAAAAATAAAAATAAAAATAATATTTTTAATATAGTTTGGCTTTTATTTTAGTTATTTAAGTAAAAAAATGTCACCATATCGAAAATACTCGTTATATAAAAAAAATTGAAACAAAATAAAATATTTCATACCAAATTTATGTTCGTTGGATTTCGTTCGATTTTGTGCAATATGGTAGGCATTTAGTACAATCATTATATGCATTTGCAATACATATAAAAAAATATAAAAAATAGTATAATTTTTTATTAAAAAATATAAATAAAAAAAAGAATTGGTAAGATTTTCATATAGTTCTTCATGTTCAGTTATTTTATTTATTTAAAAAGACTAAATTCGACATTTAACCAATTAATTTATTCGATCGATTAGCAGAATTACCGTTTTTTTTTTCGTACGCGTGTGTATTGTATTGTTTTAAATTGTAACATGTCGTGTTATAAAGTGCAATGTAATTCTGTATACAGTGCAAGTATTGATATATAAAGTGCAATTATGTAGATCTTTTTTTTTTTTTTTATGTGCGTAATATTTTTGGCGGAAGCTAGTGACATTAATTATGTTGATAAAGTGCAACGTGTCATCTTATAAAGTGCAACCTGTTGTTTTATAAAGTGCAACATCACGCTATATAACGTGCATTAATTTATAAATTAATATTTTTTGCGGGAGCTATGTACGTTAATTATGTTGATAAAGTGCAATGTGTTTCCGTGTATACAGTGCAATGTATTGATATATAAAGTGCAATATGTAGCTAGATCCATTTTTTATATTTTTATGCGTAATATTTTTTGGCGGAAGCTAGTGGTATTAATTATGTCGATAAAGTGCAATGTGTCGTCTTATAAAGTGCAACCCGTTGTTTTATAAAGTGCAACATCGTACTATATAACGTGCATTAATTTATAAATTAGGTGTATTCAAAAGTTATTTAATATATATAATTGTACATTGAATTAACTTAAATTATTAAAATATCTTTTTTATTTATTATTTTTTATTATATAATTTACTCATTACTATAAAATATTTTTATGTTATTTTATATTTTACATTATTGTTATTTAATAATTTATTTATGATTTAATATATATGCATAACAAAAGGTACAAAAATAATTTTTTATTAACTTTCAATAATTACAAATTTGGCATGTGGGTTAAATTAAAATATACTTACAACTGTTAAAATTGCAAATAGATCCTTACACCTAATCTAATTCTCAATAATGTGCCCAATCCTACAATCCATTTTCATCTTTTATATTGATATCACCTCTCTAAATTCATCTTCATCCTCCACCACTCCACCCGCCGTCGACCAGCTATCTCCGGTCGCGACGTCCGGCGTCCATGGCCGGAGAGACGTTTTCGGTCGTGTTGGAGCTTCCTGCCGCCGCGACCTGTGCAGGCTTTGCCATGTCTAACGATGGGTTCCCAACGACCGTGAACTATTGCCGGAGTGTGTCGGCGACGACTGCAACGATTGGAGCTTCGTGGTTGAGGCGGATGACATCAACTGGTGGGAGCTCTTTCGCGTCCGGTAGAACGGCTGTGTCTAGTGGAGATGCGGCGGTGCGTTCACGAACCTTGGCGGCAGGAGGCGGTCGATGATGGAGGAGCTCACAGACCAGTTGGCTGTTGCAGGCGACGGTGCGTGCTCACAGTCTGTTGCGGCGAGGATGTCAGCCAGTGACAGCGGCGGAGACCGGCCGGCGGCGGCGGATACCAGCGGTCGACGGTGGAGGAGCTTCCTGTATGTATGTATATGTGTGTGTAAGTGTGTGCGATTAATGTACAGTGTGTGTGTGTGTGTGTGTGTGTGTGTTAATGTATTATGTACAGTGTGTGTGATTAATGTGTACAGTGTGTGTCTGGTGGGTGGGTGTGTGTGCAGAGTGTGTGCGCGTGTGTTAGGTGTGTGTGTGCGTGTGTTTTGTATGTGTTAGGTGTGTGGGGTGGGTGATGTGGTATGGTGATGTGTAATATTAATTATCAAAATACCCTTAATGAAGGTATAATTTTGACTTTTTTTAGCCATTAGATCATCCGATCTAATGGCTACGATTTATTCCTATTTCTCGCATTAAGGGTCATTCTCACCGGAGCGTGACCCTATATACATATAGCATATATATAATATACTGCTAAAAAATTTTACAGGGGCCCGTGCCCCTACAGACCCCTATGTAGATCCTCTAGTACATCCACATACAAAACCTAGAAAAATAATTTTAATCCCACTGAACTTGTGATAAACACAATCATCAACAACATTCATCTCAAAACCATATGAGATAATTACTTAATGAAATTTGTGATACCACTGTCGAGACGCTTGTTTAAGCTCATAGATGGATTTTCTTAATTTACAAGCCATTTGCTTCGGGTCATCAACCTCAAAACTTTTTGGTTGTACCATAAAGATCGTTTCATCAATGTCACCATTAAGAAACATTGTCTTTATATCCATCTGATGTAGCTCCAAATCAAAATGTGCCACTAAAGTCATGATTGTTCTAAAAGAGTCCTTCGAAGATACCGGAGAAAAGGTTTCTTTATAGTCAATCACTTGCCTTTGAATACAAATAGGAAAATTTTTTCTCTTCCCTAAAAATCCCCAATCTGTCGAATAAAAACCTAGCCGCTTCTCTCGAAAAAACTCTCACCGACAGGTGCGGTGCACTTGACCGTTTTCGATCTGCACCAGAAAAAGAGGTAGTCCTCTGTTGGCACTGTGGCTCCTTCTTCCTCGTGTGGTGTTTCCCTAGGTGTTTCGGGCGGCTATGGCGGGCTGTGGAGTGGGCTACGGTTGTTGGCGGCGGCTCCATCTGGCAGTGGCTTGCATTGGTCCGGCAGTGTTCGCTTTTGCTGTGTGTGGTCCCCCTCTCCCTTTGCTTCTGCAGCTCCTTGGGTTGATGTGGCGAGGGCCTTTTGTGGGTGCTCTTCTCAGCTCTGGTCAGTTAGTTGCTCTCGCCGGATTATTTGGGGGTCGGCGTCGATGCGTCTCTTCCTGGTGGTCCAGAAGGTGTGTCCTTTGGGAGGGTGAGCGGATTGTGGTCCGAATTTAGTTAGGCGTCAGTTTTAAAGAGAGTTTCTAGATCCAGATTTTGGTCTTAGCTCTGCCGTAGGTTCGACTCGGTGGTCCGACCAGTGGGGAGGGCTTTCTTTTTTATTGCGTTTGTAGTTTTTGTGTGTTTCTTGTTTTGTGTCTTTTTGTTTTTCTAGTTTGTTTAGGTGTCGATTCTCCTGTTGGGAGTCGATTATTCTCCTATTGGGAGTAGGTTTTTCTCCTGTTGGGAATTTTTTCTTCTTGTTATTGTCGGTGAATATAGTGTGTTGTGTTTATGTTGGTTCTAGGCTACCTCGGCTTGTTGCCTTTGGGGTTTGTTCTCCCAACTAGATTCAGCTGAATAATTGACTTATTCAGTTGTTTAACTGGTCTCTAGTGTGTAATTATGTGACTTTTTCTATGGAAAATCTATCGTTTGAATAAAAAAAAAGAGTAGTTTATAGCCACAAGACATGCTTTATACCTTTCCACATTACCATTTGCATCCTGTTTGGTCTTAAAACTCCATTTACAACCAACGGGTTTTGCACCTTCTAGCAATGGGACAAGTTACCAAACCTTATTGTCTTGCATTGACTTAAACTCTTCACACATCGCTTCGATCCATTTATTTGAGCTGGGATCCTTCATGACTTGTTTGAGGTTGATCGAATCATCCACATTCAAGCCACCCACATCCTCGTTTTCTTGAAGAAATACCAAATAATCATCCAGAATGGTGTTTCTCCGTTCTCTAATGGATCTACACAAAAGTGTTGGCTCTTCAACTGTATGTTTTTTAATTTATTGAGTTTGTTCTATAGGTACATGTTGAGGTTCAGGTTCAAAATGAACAGACTCCTCAATTGTATCTTGAAACTGTATGGGAGGTGGAATGACTATTTGCTCTTGAGGGATCGATTTAATCACTTTGGTGATTTCTTGATCCTCAAAAGTATAGTCCGAGACTGTATTTCTCCCCTCAAACTCAACATCCTCAAAGAACGTGGCAATTCCCGTCTCAAAAATACTTCTTGATATGGGATAATAAAAACTTTTTCACCTTCGATCGTTCCGAGTAGATGAAATGACTGCTCACCGTACAAGGCTTGCACCTCAAAAATACTGTAAAGATGTACGACTCCAATTTTACTACATGCGGAGCGAGAACAATAACAATTTTGAATTATTGTCTCGAATGTAGCAATGGAATTATGTTGAAAGAGTGATTGTCTAAACATTAACTATTGTAGAGCCTGTGCGTTGCACATTAGGCTTATTTTTCAAAACCTTTTTATAACTTTTTTTTTAATTTTTTTTTCTCGAAAATTAATCAATGAGTTATGGCAATAAGATAAATAATATATATGAAAACACATGTATATTAAACACTTCTCTATACCCAACAAAAAATAGTTTTTATTTTCACATATATATTAATAAATTCATATAATTATTTTGTGGGCCGAGTAAATGCGAATTGATTTTATAAATATGGGTTATGTTGGGCATAACAACAAACATAGATCATTAACCTTAAAAATTGGTCAATTTTAGTTACCAGTTCTGTAGGCCCAACTCACCAATATGGGAGAGTGTGGGAGCACTATACCAGTTACACTCATATTCCCCTACCCTCCACAGATACTTTCTTTGAGCTCCTGAGTTTTTCAGACACCGCACACACATTAGACACGTGAGCTTTCTTATTCCTTGTCTGATCCTTTGGGCCACCTGAACAGAGAGGAATAATACGAAGTATAGGGATAACACTTTTTTGTCTTCCTATATTATTTTGCAGGTTGATCGACATTTCTCCTTCCTCACCGCTTTGGGCAGACTCACCCACATAGACTGGATAGGATGCACGCCACCTCACCGCCTTGCACCACCTCCGCTGATGCCTGTCCAGCATCCACGTCCCATAGCTGTTGTTTAGCTGAAACTCGAGTCGCCTTGGGTTAAGCTAAACACTGATGGAGCCTTTGATCGACTTACTGGAGTTGCAGGAGGTGGGAGCCTGATTAGGGATCATAGCGAAGCCCTTATTGCCGCGTTTCATGCCCCTCTTCGGGCCTCTTCGAGCTATGACGCGGAGGTTCAGGCGATTCAGATCGGTCTTCAGATTGCTGCCTCGATCTCCTCTCACATTTGGATAGAGTTGGACGCGGCCGTTGTCATCACTCTTCTGTCATCTGACCATCAGGGCACGTGGCAGATCCAGCATCCTCTCATGCGCATCAGAACCACTCTCCAATCGATTCGCTCCCGGATCTCGCACATTTTCGGCGAGGAGAACCGACCAGCTGACTTCCTCGCTGGCATCGGGTCCTCCTCCCCTCACAGACGCACACTTTACCCTAACGATATCCCTATCCGATTCCGCACCCTCATACGGATGGATCAGATGGGATACCCTTCATTCAGATTTGTGTGGTCGGTCCTACCTTTCGGTGTCTGCCACACTGTGATGCTGACTTTTTTGTCGGGACCCTTCCAGAACCAGGATCTTTTTTTGTTTTGTATTTCTTTTGCAGTCGTCAGATGTTCCTTGTATTTTTTCTTGTATTTTTTCTTGCTATTGTTTTCGTTTGACTTGATGTATATCAAATATTGGACTTATAGTTTTGTGACTTTCCAGCCCATTTAGGGCATTTTTATATACATGTTGGGGGTCCGGCCTTAACCCCCACCCTTCTAGGGTGTTGTTTGAACAATATGGGTCTTTTCTTAAAACAGTACCCAACTCAATATTAAGTCATGGACAATTTCATAAACTTCAGCCCAAAACCAAATAAAACAAACATCAAACGGCTGATATAAAGTCAATATTGATGGACGGCTAAGATTGTATGGAGTCAAGTGTAAATAACATGAACAACATGAATAGCAGAACACGCCCATTTATACTTGACACCACCGATAGTATGGAGTGTCATTTTAAATGTTACAAAGAGATGTTAGGGTTTGTTTTATTTTTTCGTCTCTTCCATAATTTTGTCTAAAAAATAACCTTGAGATCTAAACATCCCACATATGTCTTCATTCTGTTCGGCCAACCCATTCGCAGATCTACAAATCCGGCTGATTCCTGCAGATAACGGGAGCTGGTGGTTGATGATGGCTCCAACAGGCGATTCAAAATAAGGTCAACGGGTGATACTCAAATAGCTCTCACTGACACCATGTTCAAGAAGGTGAGGTCGTCTTTCTTTCCAGCCGCTCCGTTTTGTTGAAAAGGTAATGCCTCTTCCCATTTTCCAGAGAAATAATAAAGTCTTTGTTGATACTTGATATATTTGTAAGTTTCTTAGAGAAATAATAAAATCTTTTAACAAAGACGCATCAAATGCCCATATGAAAAATAATTAAACCATACTTACTAACATTGATTCTTATACTTTTTATCTGTGCAAATAAATTTATTTGTATTTTGTCAAATGTAGTTCTGTAAAATAGATCAAAAGACCAGAACTAATAAAAGTATAGTAATCATTAGTTTTTTTTGCTTCATTATATTAGGAACCATAATAACCTGATGAAGACAGAAATATTATATTTGTTAAGAGTCGATGCATTTAGGATCCTTTTATGATAATTATGGACTATCTATTAAAGATAATTTCTTGTATATAATTTAATTGTATTTCTTATCCTGTTATGGGTCTAATAATTAATTATATATTCCACATTGTTTTTGTATGAGGTACAATGCGTATATACACAAGGAACATTTGCAAAATCATGTATAGTAAGGTAATTCTCTAATTAAATTCTCTTATATTGATTTGTATAACATCTATTTTTATAGTTCTTATAATAACATGAGATTTTTATTTTTTTTTTGTCCGATACAGTGCCTGAAAGAAGCAAACTGAAAATACACAATAATTAGATCAAGAATAAAAATGTCAATCGCACATAAGATCTTTGTGTGTGATATCTAATCTATTATACTTTTTTTTTTTTTTGCANACTGGGATATCAAGTCAAATTGGCAGATTGACAACTAAAAGAATGTAACATTTGACAGGTAATTATTGTACTAAATTTTTATATATTGATTATTTATACATTGAATTGTAATGTTCATGATATATTTTATTTTGAATCATGCATTGGAGAACCAAATCGAAAATGCACAATAACTTGATCAAGAGTAAACACATCAATGCACCTCGATCATATTTACACAGGAAGTATACATGTACAATTATATAAACTATACATAAACTTATGGTTTTTATTTTTTGTTTTTGGTGACATAATCTCTCATATTCGTGATTTCAGGAAGTGCATGTTAACTCGCTCTAAAGATGTACAACTACCACCTTTGATTGACGAAGTTGAAGCATTCGCTAGACGCAATAGTGCAACAACTAGAAAAAGAAGGGGCAATTCAAAGTGCACAATGGACGAGCAAGAACAACCGAGGCAAGCGATTCGTGACCACTTTCGGCCTCAATTTAATAAGAATTTTGGCGGGATTGCGCATATACCCGTCAATGCGAATAATTTCGAACTGAAGCCCTGCTATATCTCGATGGTGCAAAACAACCAATTTGGTGGACACCCGACCGAGGATCCGAATCAACACTTGACCCAGTTTTTGCAAATCTGTGATTTGGTCAAGTACAATGGTGTCTCCGAGGATGCCATACGGCTGCGTCTATTCCCTTTTTCTCTAAGGGATAAAGCTCGGAGTTGGTTGTCGATGATTTCTGATGGGAGCATTACTACTTGGGAGGAGTTGAACCAGAAGTTCCTGCTTAAATATTTTCCTCCAAGCAAGTCGATGCAACTCAAAAGCGAGATTACCCAATTTAGGCAGCAAGACTCGGAGCCTTTATACGAGGCGTGGGATCGATTTAGAGAATTATTGAGAAGATGCCCTCAACATGGTTTTCCGGAGGATCAACAACTTTGTTTCTTCTATAATGGGTTGTTGGGCCAAACGAGAGCCTTTGTAGATGCGGCTGCTGGAGGAGCTCTATTGG